CACAGCTCCGCGTTCTCTCCAAACCTTTCTCCACAGATCCTGGGTAGCAGAGCATCAGGGTTTCTTGGGGAGGATCTTGAACTTCACGACACTCCCTGAGTTAGGGAGAAAGACCCCAGTGGAGGACTTGGCAGGCAGGAGCTCGAGCTTGCCCAGCTACAGCACCTTGCGGCTGGGGGAGGAACAGGGCTGACATCGGTGCCTGGTGCCGCTCTCATTTCCCAAAACACTACAGTGACCCCAGAAATAACTGGCGACATCCAGTGTCACTTCAGGATGAGGAGATTGAGCAATATTCCTTTATTTTATTTGCCAGATGACTGATATATTCTTCCTCTTTCTATGTTTGCAGAGGTACAATTGACAAAAATTACATGCATTGAAATCAGCTTGCAGAGAGACATCTGGGCTCCCATGTTTATTATAGCATGAGTCACAGCATCCACAGAGTGGAATCAGCCCAGGGCTCTGTCATCAGATGGAAGAATGGGTGGATGCATTAAACTCATTCACAAAACTGTATATTACCATCTGTGATGCCACATACACACATATGTACACACATGCACACACACGATGAGTATTTACAGGTATTTACATGGTTGGACACGGAGGACATTATGTTAAACAAAATAGGCACAAATATTTCATGACCTCAGACATAGGCAGAATCTTAAAAATATTAAACTCAAGAAAGTAAAAGGTGATTGCTAACAACAAGGAAGAGAAAATGCTGGTAGAAGGTTGAAAACTTCAGCCAGGAGGGAAGCACTTAGTGACCCAGCCCACGACAGGATAGTGACAGAAACAATGCACTGTATGTTTCAAAGTTGCTAAGAGTAGATTCTAAATGTTTTCACCATAAAGAAATTGTAAGTCTGTGAGGTGACAGATTCGCTAATGACCTGGCTCAGTCATTACACCTGTAACAGATATAAAAACATCTCACTGTGCATCATAAATGTATACAGTTATTTGTCAACTGGAAATAAAAATTTTGAATGTCAGTGTCATCTTAAAATTGCATATGTTGGGGGGGCGTGCTGGCACATGGCTGTAACCCCACCACTCGGGAGACTGAGGTAGGAGAATCTTTCTATGACTAGATTTTCTGTCTTACTGTAGTGTCACCTGTGTTCCTCCATGTTGTCACAGACTGCACAGTCTCATTTTTAAGACTGCATAGTACTCCACTATGTATCTCTACCACATTTTCTTTATCTGTTAAAGAGTCCTGTTTTCTTATTATACTGTGCTATCTTATTTTCGAGGGATCTTATGATTCCCACACTCTGGTGACAGCCAAATTTAGATTAGGCTTACAGAGAGATCCAACGTGTATACCTTTTGCATAGCTTTTCACATCCTGTGAACACAAAGAATTGTTACAGGAAACTCCTAATATTGTGCCTGCAATCTTTACCCACTGTCTTTACGATGTATGATAAATACATATTTGGTGCCTGTGTTCGAAAGGCGTGTAGGTCTTTGCTCCTGCCTTGCCAATCCTTTGGCCTGGGAGAAAAAAAGGAGCCGTCAGAGGGCCTGGGTTTAGGTCCTAGATTTGTGCTGTACTAGGAGAGAAGGACCGGTGTTGTTTAAGCTTCACCGGAAGTGGGACTAACAGGAAGTAAACATTCAGTCTTTGTTTTGATGGCCAGCTCGCAGCTCCAAGATGGTGACCATTCTCTGATAATAAGAGGGGCTTTGGTATGATGAGCTGACTGGTGGTGGGGCGCCCTAAGGAACCACAAAAGGAGAGATGGTTGCCTTAAAAACCAACTACAGGATAAGAAGATTGCAATTTTCAGTCCCATCCCCTGGGCTCTAGGAGAGGGGCTGGGATTGAGCCAATCACCAGAGGTCAGTGCTTCAATCAGCTGAGCTAAGTCGTGAAGCCTCCACTAAATTAAGTAGTCCCTCGACACCAGCTTCACAGGGTCACATCCCCGCGCTGGGCAGGATGCGCGTCACGGGTGGCACCCGTGCTTGTCTCCAGACCTAACCCTGTGCACCTCTTCCATCCGCTCTGCCTGTACTGTAGCTTTACAGCAGACATGAGGAAGGTGCTCTGTTGAGTTCTGTGAATCATTCTGCAAATTCTCAAACGTGGCAGGGGGTCGGGGTCCAGGAAACCCAGGATCTGTAGTCTGCCTTTTCTATAAAATCACCCAGTATCACAGGAGACACCCAGGGCTGATTCCTGCACTGCCCACCCCCCAACCCCCCGCCACCCACAAAGCAGCCCAGAGCAGCTCTTCAGGTTCAGGGTTGTAATTTGTGAAGGCCCGTCCATCTGTGGCAGGCCACTGGTCAGTAAAGGCTGGTGCCCGTGTCCTTTAATCACATACGCAAGAAACCACAGCTAATTCAGGACAAGCTAAAACATCTGAAACAAATACCAGTGGCAGAGCACCAGATGGTCCACCAACCAGGGCCACGTCACCTAACACAACTGGACAAAGACACAGTGGAGGAAAATCACAAAGTGCACAACGTCTCCCTCTTCTCAAACATTTCTTGATCCTCTTCCCAGGAAAAACCAGTTCCATATGATGAGAATTCCACATGCCTCATCAATTACCACCATCGGGTCTTCTGGAAAACATTCAGCTAAGGCTCACATCCCCATTGATGCCTAAATTATATTATAAGCACCGAGGTTGGAGGAAAAACCGTGGGAAATGCTGGGTCAGATGTGTCTAATTCAGAGACCAGTGAGGGAGAATGTGGGTGCAGGCCCCCCTCACTCAGCTGTGAGACAGTGGGAGGAAGGAATAGCCCAGAAGGCGCCATAAGGGTTTCTTCTTCAATGAGGAGCATCCCGGCTCAGCACAGGACCTGTGTCCCGTGAGTGGAATGTCAGCATTTGGTTCTCTCTCGTTTACTGTCCTGCTGGATGCATTGGGAAAAGGCACTGCTCGTGTATCCTTCCAATGAAAGCACTATTTTTTTTATCAGAATATATATTTGTACACTGCAAAACTTCATATTTGAACACAAGAGATTCGCCTAACCCTAACAGAGAATGTGTTACTGAATGACATTTATAGGCCGTGTTTGTCACCCTCCCATCTTCAGGATCTTAAAGGAGAAAGAAAGTCCAAGAGTAGAACAAGGAGCAGTAGGTCCAAAAGGAGGAGACAGGGTCGCAGATAGATACTGTCACATCTATTTTCATTGCACTGTTACTCACGGTAGCCAGGAAATGGAAGCGAGCTAGACGTCCACTGACAGATGAGTGGAGACCGTGGAATCCATACACGCTGCGGCATGGTGCTCGCTTTTATCAAGGAAGGAAGGAGCCATGTGTGGCCCATGAGGATATTAGGCTAAGTCACATAAAGATAAATACTACGTGATTCCACTTACAGGGGGCATTTAAAATAGTCAGATTCACAGGGCAGAACGGGCGTTGGCTAGCAGTTGTCACTGGCTGTGAGGGGAAAGGAGGCTGTGAGGGGAGCATTGCTGAGTGGGTCCTGCAGTAGTCCTAGGGTGGCACTGGTGGAAGGTGTGGGACTTGTGAGAGGCAAGGTCTAGTGGGAGGCCATTAGGTCACCGGGTGCTCCTCTAAGGGATCCAGGCTCTTGCCTCACTCACCTTTTTACTGGCTATGGCGTTTGCTCTGCCGTGAACCCCAGTCAGGCTGTGCTGCCTCACCACAGGCCCAAAACAACGGGGTCCAGTCCATCATGGGCTAAAACCTTCATAGCAGTGAGTCGACACCAAGTGGGTGATCTCCAGCATTTTTCTATAGTGACAGAAAACTGACACAATGGGTATAGCATTTAGTCATAGAAAATTAAAGCGTTCAAAAGACCTGTCCCAGAAAGTGTGATATGGTTAACAGCACTGTGCTACAGCCTTGGGATGATGAAGGCAAACTGATGCTATGTGTTTATTATCACAAAAGGAGGACAAGATCAGTGATGGCATCACCAGGTCCTCACCCCTGACTGCTCACGGGAGGAGGAGGCAGGACCCCGCCCTTACAGATGAGGGCGTGCAGGACTATCAGGCCGTGTCGATGTCGCTCCCGGCCGGCAGGAAGGACACACGACAAAGTCTGGCAGTGGACAACCTTTTTTTTTATTTTCTCTCCGTACAGCCTGCCCTGGGATCGCTCCCAGCCGAAGCCTCCTCTGGTCCGCTCCCCGCGGCTCCTTCCGTGCTTCGCTCCGAAGCCTCTACCGGTCCGCTCTCCGCGGCTCCTTCCGGGCTTCGCTCCGAAGCCTCTACCGGTCCGCTCTCCGCGGCTCCTTTCGGGCTTCTACTTCCCCCCAGGGGTGGCACCAGTATATATACGGATACAGTGTCCAATCATATTAAAGTAAGCAAGGCAAGCTGATTGGCTAACATATTATTGAGCGGGTTGTTTACGCGGTAAGCAGGAAACTAACGTGCTCGATGGGAGGGGTAATCTAACTCAGGCTTTGCTCTTTACCACAGGCCGCATGATCGCTATATGCGGCGGCTCGGCAATGTGGTGGCTCCCAACATCTCCCCCTTTTTTATTTTAAATAAGTCTACGCATCGCAGCCCGTCCTGAATTGAGTGTAGAGGCCTATGCCCTGATAGGAGGCCCACCAAGGGCTCTCGGCGTCGGCCCGGGTCGGCCGTCCCCGAGTCTGCCGAGGCCCCGAGGCCCTCGTCCTTTTTTCAGGGCCAGGAAGGAACCGGACGGAACCTGGATGCACACAGGCATACACTCATGTCGCTCCGCATGATCCCCCCGGGGCGACATTTGGTTTGGGCGAAACCTAGTAATTCAGCGGCTTTTGTGCGGTATGGGGTAGGGCCTGTCTTAGGTTGAGTCATGCTGGGGAGGCATGCTCTTACCCGTTATTGACTCATCTACCCTGCTATATCATAATTTTTTAGAGGAGGAGTGTGGGAAGCTCACCGTCCCTAGACTCGGTCGTAGGCTAGGCGAGCGAGCCATGCATATGCCTGAGGATCTTCTTGTCCATTTCGGGCTACCGCTATTTCTATTCATCTTGTTGGTTGGTCTGTGATGGATCTCCGGTAGGGCAGGTCTGGTCTTCAGTCGAGGGCTTTGTCGCCCGTGTCAGTCTCTCCGGTACCCACAGTGGTTCTCGTCCCGATTCCTGCAGAAAAACACAAACCGCGCCTCGGTTCCAGCTGATTACCGGATCCGGGCCCATCCATTGTCCTGTCAGGACATCTTTCCACTTCACCCACCCTTTATGGTTGGGGGAAGGGTTGCAGTGCTCCACAGCTGGGGAGCAATTATCATTATTTAAATTTAAAAAATTGTGTGTGAATAGTGCCATGGATAATCGTGCCTTTGGGGCCAGGCCTTGGCCTACTCCCCCTTTTTGTTTTTTATTTTTTATTTTTTATTTTTATCTTTTTTGTTTTGTTTTTTTTTTTTTTTTTTATTGGTACCAGGGATCGAACTGGCGATTGCCTGCTTACAAGGCAGGCGCTTATGCCGCTAAGCTAAATCCCCAGCTCCCATTTCCTCGACCGGCGTTTTTTTCAGCCTGCTCGGCAGAGAACTCTGTGTACCAGGCTCGCCAATCCAGGTAACTACCCGAGGGCAGACACACCTTTGCCAGCTGAATCCAGTCCGCGGGGGTGAGGGGCCCAGAAGACAGGTTCTCCAGCATGGCAATGGTGTAAGGCGCAGTCGGCCCAAAGGTTGTAACTGCATTTTTAAGTTTTCTAATCTGCTTTATCTCAAAAGGCTCCCATGCATTACGTCCCTGGCCCACAGCTACTTGTACAGGAAATATCCCGTAGGGGCCACTATCTATCCCAGGTGGTGGATGTACCTCATGAGACAAACGTCCCCCCTGCCAAAGCCGCCTGTAAAAATACCGACCCGCCGGCGGCGGAGCATAAGACGGCGGCCGTGATTGGGCGGAAAATGGGGGCCCGTGCATCACTTTCTGTTCTGGCGAAAGGGGAGGGAGCTCCCACGCGGCCGCCTCGTGGCGAGGGATCGCTTCCGGGAACAGCTCCCAAGGTGGGGCGGAAGGCTTCGCCTCCCTCTCGCGCCAGGGGGCGCTCAGGAGCTCTCTACTCCTCCGCAGACCAAGTTGAGCGGAGCGCAATTCGCGGCGCAACGCTGGGAAAGAACCCTGCGACTCCTTATCGAGCGGCCTATCCTCTTGGCATCTAGGCTCCTTGGTCTCATCGTTGTCTAAGCCTTCCTCGTTCTCGGAGTCAGACGACTCCGAGGCCTGAGCCCCGTCTTCCTCCTTTATATCTTTGTCTCCTTTGACGGACCCCTCCCGGGAGCTCCCTGACTGGGCCTGTTTGAATGCCCTACGCACTTTAATGAGCTCTTGAGAACCTTCCCTGCAACCACCCTCGCTCTTCAAGCATGCATATATCATTTCCCACAGTGGCCGAGCGAAGACCGAAGCCCCGCCCTCCCTTTCCGCTAGAGAAAGATCCCTGCCCAACTTCTCCCACGAGGGCAGGTTTAAGTGCCCTGTGGGCAAGAACCAGGGAGCGAAACTATCAATCTCCTCAAAAAAGCTCTCCAGCGTTTTGCGTCCCACCTTGAGGTCTCTGGACTTTAAGAGCTTCCGGAGGACCTGTACCAAGGGCTGGGTGTCGTTACTCGGTACGTTACCCATATTTAATATGTTACTCACCACGTGAGGCCCAAAAATCCGCCACTTACGCGTGAGCCTGAGGGGAGTCTAAAAACCCTGTAGGTGCGCGCCACCCAGGGCCCAGGTTTATCCCCTACTCACCTGTCTCGCAGTGCTGTATCAAGGAACGTTGTCCACTACCACGTCTCGGGGGTGATCAGTTGTTCCCCGTACGGGCCACCAAATGTCGATGTCGCTCCCGGCCGGCAGGAAGGACACACGACAAAGTCTGGCAGTGGACAACCTTTTCTTTTATTTTCTCTCCGTACAGCCTGCCCTGGGATCGCTCCCAGCCGAAGCCTCCTCTGGTCCGCTCCCCGCGGCTCCTTCCGTGCTTCGCTCCGAAGCCTCTACCGGTCCGCTCTCCGCGGCTCCTTCCGGGCTTCGCTCCGAAGCCTCTACCGGTCCGCTCTCCGCAGCTCCTTCGGGGCTTCTACTTCCCCCCAGGGGTGGCACCAGTATATATACGGATACAGTGTCCAATCATATTAAAGTAAGCAAGGCAAGCTGATTGGCTAACATATTATTGAGCGGGTTGTTTACGCGGTAAGCAGGAAACTAACGTGCTCGATGGGAGGGGTAATCTAACTCAGGCTTTGCTCTTTACCACAGGCCGCATGATCACTATATGCGGCGGCTCGGCAATGTGGTGGCTCCCAACAAGGCCGTGTGACAGAGAAACCAGCCCCCTGTGTACCTCTTCTGTCGGACACAAATCCACACCTGTGCCTTAGAAAATTTGCACAGAATGGCCAAGATATTGGCCTCTATTGTTTCTATAATAAAAAAGCCAGTTTAAGATTAAAAAAAAACAAACAAAATGCATTAAGCATTTTTTCTCGTATTTGTTTATTTAACTGCTCGTGGAAATGACTGAGATTTTAGAAAATACCATCATGAAGTTTTGTAATGGGAAAGATATCTTCCAGTCAGTTATTTCAAATGAAGTCCATTTACAGAATGGAGCCTTTCCAGAACGTTCTCCGGAGCCAGAATAAAGGAGACTGAGAACTTTTTAAAATATGATTAAATGAAGAGATTTGTGTGCCTTCTCTCCTAAAGCAGCTTTTGGAATTTTTGTTGGTTATGGCTTTGCTTGCAGCAGGAATGCCAGTTGGAAATGAGATGCCAGAGAAACACACCACTCCCTCGCCCTGAAATGGAAACATGAATCTCAAAAATCTATAAATAAAATATATGCTAAATAACTCACCGTGGAGTATTACTGAAGCCTGGCCATTTCTGTTATCGATTGTTGAATAAATCAGAGTCAGCTGTACACGGAACAGTATCACAGTGATTGTTCTTAACCAAGGAAGATTCTGCCCCTCAAGGAAACAATTTTTTTGTCTTTTTAAGACAGGGCTTCACGTAGTCCAGGCTGGCCTCAGACTCACAGCCTTCCATGTACCAGCATGCCAGCTAGGAGACTCTTGATTTGCATGACCTGGAGATGCTACTAGCAACTCATCAGTAGAAGTGAGAGTGCTGGTAAACACCCTACAGGGCACAGCACAGCCCTCCACAACAAATTATTATCTGGTCCAAAAGGTCACTGGGGCTGAGACCGGGAAGCCCGCTGCTACGCACGCTGTCCTGCACTTTGTGCCTCCAGTCAATAGAGAGGCCAGTCAACTTCAGTCCCTGCCAGGAGGCAGGTTTTCGGAAAGCACACTGCTCGCAGCTGGGAAATACATACTTTCAATGTGGTATTTGTATCAGAATGACATCAGTTCTTCCCAGCTGGGTAGAATGATCAAATGCAGGCAAGAGAGCGTGGCCCCTTGGAAGAGGACCAGCATTCAAGAAGGCTTCTTTTTTTTTTTTTTTTTTTTCTTACTAAACCTGGAAAGAATGTTGGTTCCAAATCAGTCTTCAAAAATGAGCTCCATATAAGTAAATATCATGTTTAGTTGGATTTATTCCATAAAAGGTTGCATTTGGTAAACAGCATAACACGATTAAGTTAAAATTAGGGAGGAAATCAGATGCAGAAAACACTCAGGTAGCAAGTCAAGCAAAAGTGTAAACTGTTCTTTACAAAACTATGTGTACCCGGGCTGCCCACCTTAGGCTCAAACCCCCTGCTAGGACTCTTTACCCTGTCGGCCTGAAGTATAGACGGGCGGACTCACTGCCGTCTCAGAGATGGACCATCCACAGGTGGTCCTGCGCCTGCCTGCTTGGGATTTTTACAGCATTTCATCATGAACATTTAAGGCCGTCCCCGGCTGCCTCCACATGGCCACAGCTACCTCCATTCTCTGACCTTTCCTCCACATCCTCTGCATTTCTTACACACTCATGTACGTGTGTACACAACCAAAGACCCTGGGGAAACATTTACACAAACAGAACCCTTGTGCACAGATAGTATCACAAGAGATCTGACACTCTGAGTGGATAAGCTGTCTTTTGTGACAGTTGATTTTTTATGCCACGCCTTCTGGTCTGAGTGTGGAGGTGCCAAAATGTGTTCTGTGCCCTCCCCTCCTGGAGACTCTGAGGGCAGCACACTCTCCAGCACAGCTGCCAAACCAGCCCAGAAACCCAGCAGAGGAGTCTTTCCTCCGATATTGGCAAACCTCTGAAGAAAACCAGTTTGCAAAATCCCAACTGAATGACCAAATGCAGGTGTTCAGTGCTTGCACTCGCATTTGACAGTTAGAAAGGAGAGTGGGCCACTTTCCACGGCTGCCCTTGACGTCGTCTTCCTGATCATGCTCCTCTCGGCCTCGTCTGTTTCTAACTGAACTGCTTGGGCTTTCCTCATTGGCTTAGAGGCACAGGCTTTGCTAATCACTGTTCTCACAAAAGTTGGATGTAATCTACTGCCTTTTCCTGGGCTTTTCACTTTGCTTATGGCTTTCTTTTGCTCTCCATGGTTTTGAACTGCAGTCCCCTCCTCACCTGTGGCCACTGGTTTGTTCCGGCTGAAGGTCACGTGTGAGCGCTAATCTCAGCGACTTCTGCACGCACCATCTTTATCTCTAAAGCAGAGATTTTACTCCAGCAGCCTGCTTAGCTGCTTTCCTATAGGCAGGGACTCCGGGATCTGAGGTCAGTGCATTCATGTCCCTGCCGTCCCAGCAGCCTTCACGGCAACCAGAGTGGACACATGGGGCAGGCAGTTCCTTCTGCTCAGAAGTTGCCAAGGGCCGGGCTGGGCATGGCCACATCACCTCCCCTCTGTTCCTGCTGGCCGAAGCTCAGCCACACACTCCTGCTCAGATGCAAGGGCTGCTGGGAAATATCATCATCCTACGTCCCCCAAAAAGATAGGACTTAATCGGATGAACATGAGGCCTTTCTCTTGCAGAGCTTCAGGCTCTGTTTCTTGCTTAGGAAACTCTTGCCCACCTTCAGAAAGGTTTCTCTGTTCCCTTTGATTTTTCTTATTGGTAGGTGATCAGGAAGTCTTCTGTGTAATCTACCTGGAGGTTGTTTCTGAGAGTACTATAAAGCTCTCAGTGGGTAACCACTTACCCGGAAACCTTCCCCTGCTCTTCTGACAGAGCTCTTCATCAAACAAAGTTTATATAACTATCAACATGAACTTTCTTCTATTCCTTTGTGTGCTTACCATTCCCAAATCAATGCCATCCTGGTTAAATCTCTGTCTTTGTGGTGTGTCCCTGGATGTTTTCATCTGTGACATGAATTTCCTGGCTACGTCTTTACTGCAGAGGTTGTTGGTGATACTTGATTTGTGTCAGGAAACCAGTGCAGAGTGGCTCTGCCCTGTGGTCCTGCAGAGGATGCTGCCTGAGTTGCTGATAGGAAAAGCCATAGGCAGTTCACCCGGGAACTCTGCCGGGTAACAGCCGAGGGGAGATCTCGAAGGGCAGAGCATCACTTCCAGGGGGTGTGGGTCACTTCCCGGATGGGTCCCTGGGTCACTGCAATGTAAGCTGCCCCCAACCCTGTGCCACACACGTGTCCAGACACCTTCACTGCTCTGCAGATGCTCAACCCCGCCAGAACCTCAAATGCTGCCGGCATGGTGCAGAGACCAACTCCGTGCAGACCAGGCCCCCTCCCTGGACAGAAGTGAGAGGAGGCCAAGGCTGTGTGGAATCTTTTCTGCCTTCAGGCTTTATCTAAGGCCCCCTGATTAGTGCAGAGCTCCAGACGATTAATGAGCAAACCACTAAAGGCCACCGAGAGAGACGGCGTCAGAGGCCACCCCGTGAAGCCTCCTACAGAGCGTCCAGCTGGCCAGGGCTAGAGCTGCGCGTCATTCTGGGGCAGCAGGGACCCACGCTGCCTTTGTCCACTGGAGTCCACAGAGTGACCAGGCGGGGGCGGGCAGCACAGAGGTCCTGGGAAGGCCAAGTAAACAGATGTGGTTCCTCACCCGGAAAACTCTGTGGGGTAGCTGTTGACCCACTTGGGACTGTCCTTTGTCCACGCAGGGTGAGCACGCTGAACAGGCCTGCTGTGGAGTTCTGTGTTAGGCAGTGTCTGCGGACACAATGCTTGACAGTGGCAAATGAGGCGCCACACTGACAAAGCCCCTCTTGTCACTCTCAGGGTGAGGGAGGTGGACATCCTTGAGGGGTAAGAGGTTCCAGAGCACAAGAGAGGCCGTGCCTGGTGCTCAGCAAGTGGGATCCTGGCGCTGAAATGTCCCGACTCCCTCCCAAACCACCAGCCCGCCTCACATCCCAGCAGAGGATGGGTCTTGCCCCACCAGCAAACACTTAACAACACCCAGCATCTGTACAATCCTGAGGTTGCCACACTGAGCCAGGAAGGATATAGGGCATGCAACTAAATTCCAACCGAGAGAGCAACGCTTTTAAATGCATGTGCTTCTCGTGCCTATTTTTTGGCAGAACTTGTCTTGAGAGCTCACAGCATCGATAACAGACATGACGCTCCTGGCGGAAGACCTGGCCAAGGGTTTGTTATCATTCACACTTCAGTTTTCACAGATTAAAATTTCCATGGGAGTCTCTCCTCGGCAGGAACAAGTCCTAGAGTTGAGGCAGCCATTCAGGGCCAGCTTACTAACACCTGATTGCAAATGCTGCCTGCCCTTGAAGCAAATGCTTGTTATATCCCTAACGCAGTAACCTGTCAGCATTTCACTCAGGCAATTCACAAATAAATAAGTCTCCAGATCCTTTATACTAGTTCAGTGAAATGTATGAAAAACTTGCAGATGAAGGTATTCTACTATATTAAAGATGAATTCAATGACCACATACAGAACAATGATTTTAATATGTGATACAATGTTCACACATGCACATCTCTTTGGCCACCTACTGACCATGACAGTGGCTCACCTGTGAACTTTCTATTTGCTCATTTTCACAAGGGCTCACATAGCTGCCACACTCCACAGGAATGTCCAGCCCCGAGACCTCCCCAGAGTCGGAGAGGCCCTGGTTCTCCTTGTGTTCTCTCATACGCATGTTGGGCCTTTGACCAATCCACAAGTGGGCCCCTAGAGTGGTTAAATACACTGCCGCACCAGGAAGTAGGGAAGACCAGTTGCCCCAAGAAGACACCCAAAACTGCCCTCTCGAGTCCAGTAAAGCAATTGCAGAAATGCAAGGAAACGATGTAGGAACTGCAGTTTTGCACTCAAAGTGCCAACTTGGGGAATTTTTCCTACAGTAAACTCAGGATGGCCCATCAGTGAGCTTTGGCGGATAAAGCCATGAATTTAGAGCACTAGGTGATCCCCGCCCAGAGTGGGTCCCCCAGGAACCTTGGGCCTGGGAGTAGGGTGGGAGCCAGGGCTGATTCGGAGTCTGCACATCTGCCCCTGTATGGTAAATGCCCCTCGGGCCAGATGGCCAGACCTCCTGTACCGTGCACTCAGTTCTAAAAACAGAGAGGTTCCCAGCGTGAGGGCACGAGGAGGTCATGGGGAGTCTTAGCACCGGGCCAAACAAACATTTGAGAAACCTGAGCCTTTGGCCCCACAAAGGAAATGGGAATGGAAGATACCATTGCTTATTTAAATAATCGTCACACAGAGGCATTATCCTGTGTCCTATATTTAGATTCCAAGGGGCAGAGCCAGTTTCACAGGGTGATAGTGCTAGAAGAAAGATTTCATCTTAAACTAGGATTATTTTAAAAATACACTAAAGATTCATCCCAGGGAACCCTAAACAGATCCTGCTTTCTGAGACTG